TGGGAGCGGGCGGAGGGGGGGCCTGCGGGGCGGGCTGCGCGTGCGCGCTGGGCGGGGCCGTGCGGCTCCGTGCGCTCCCCAGGTCGCTGGGCCCGGTGGCCGCGGTCTCTGAGCAGGGAAGGGCCTCTGGAGAAGCCTGGAAAGCCGCGTGAGTCACCGCTGCTTTTGAGGGAGGCTCGCCTTGCCCAATTCTGCCGCTAGATGGTGGATTTTGTGGTCGGTGTGTAGTTACTGCCTCGGAAAGTTGGTGGGTTACGATTTTCAGGTGGGCTTGGGCGGGTGGGCAGGCCCGAGCGGAGGGAGTGCCCAGGGGTTAACTTACCTTATTTTAATTCTCCTGTGACATTAGCGTTTATTTGGTTTTAAAGAAATTACGGAGAATCAGGCCTTGGGTTACAACCAACATGTCTTGATGAAGTTCAAGTGGGCTAGGGTTATGGTAGGAGCTATATAATTGTGATTGAGAAAAAACTTTTCTTTAAACTCACATTAGAAGAATGATGGGAACCAGCAGTTAGCGTAATGGCTATGTCGCTGGACTCCCACGTAGTTGACCGCGGTTCGCGTCCCGGACCTGGTGACTTAAAACTCACGCCGGGCGCATGTGCGTGCGTGCCCAAGATCCTGAGAGGAGAATGGATTGCGGCGTGACCGTACCCCCTGGGGGGTGATTTCTCGCTTTCTGTCTCTATGTCTGTCTGTCTGGCGAGCGCTCGCGCCCTATAGCGAAAACCTCTCAAAAAAAAAAAAAAAAAGAATGAGTGAAGAAATGCCTCAAGGTAAGATCATGAGGTAGTATTATGTATTAATGTATGGTTACTGAAAGTTCGTGCAGATGGCCTGATGTAGCTATCATCAGAGGTAACCAGATTGGCAGTTGGTATTTCAGATTTAGCACTGTGTAGACTGCTAGGTGTTCTGTGGAGGGTTCTTACAGATTTGGCCTGGTAGCTATGATTTGGATGCTGGCAAAGTAAGTAACAATGGAAGTCTTTGTGGAGGGGTAGGAGGAGAGGCAGGTGACCGGTTGGCAGAGATCGTCAGAGCTGGGGGAGTGTTTAGAGATCTCTGAGTCTTCATTTAGAAGACTGAAGCCTGAGCCCTGCGATGAGCCCCTGCAATACCACGGGTGGATGGTACCCTGGCTCTCCCTCCTGTCCTTCCTCTTTGGCACTGGCCCTTAGCTACGTTTTAGTTATTAGGAGGCTATCTCGACTTGCAGGGGTGCTGTTTATTTTTTATTAGGTTATCTAAGGCAAAAAGTTTGCACAAGTTGTAGTTATTTGTTATTGAACACTGCAAAAGGGGACTGGAATCTTCAAGGCAGTTATTCCTGTAGCAGTGCATTGGGACATTAATTTTGAACTCTAGTGTTGGCACATAAAGATAATTTATGGGCAATAATATACTAAAGGAAGAGCGAGCCCTTCTGGCGAGACAACCCAGGACTGCACGTTGGGAATCTTAGTCCCAAATGCAGATCTTTTCCCTAATGGCTGTGGGCACTAAGATGGGCCATTTAAATTCTCCGGGCCTTGTGGCTTTATTTATAAGATGACAGTATTCAGCTTTAAATTGTGGTTTGTGGGGATCCCAAGAGGGTTATAGCTCTTTGGAAATGTATGGTTAAACCATATGATGATGACTTAGCTTCCTTTATGGTAGTTGCTCAATTCTGGTACCATGGCCTTCGGACTTCATAAGAGTGTGCAGAGCACTGTGTAAGTGTGGCATACCCAGTTATTTGTTAGGGGTGTGTGTGTTTAAAGAACTGTCACATTTATTTATTTATTTATTTATTTATTTATTTGCTATTGGGCATGTGCCTTCATTAGAGAGAAAGTGAGAAAGGAAGCCACCAGGGCTGGGGCTCAAACCATGTTTGGCCATGTGGGAGTCCAGAGCCTTAACTACTATGCCATCTGTTGGCCCCTGTGTGTGTTTTTATCCCTCTTATTTTTCTCCCATTCTGAAACTTAGGACAGGGATCCTAGAGGTAAGGCAGTTTTAGAAAGCACCTAAACTTGGGACCAGCAGATAGTGTAATGGCTATGTCACTGGACTCCCATGTTAGCCAACCACGGTTTGCCTCCCAGACCCAGTGGCTTAAAACTCACGCCAGGCAGACGGGCGTGTGTGCGTGCGTGCCCGCCCAAGATCCCAGAGGAGGATGGAGGAGAAGGGATTGTGGTGTGGCCATCCCCCTGGGGGGTGATTTCTCGCTTTCTGTCTCTGGCGATTGCAGGTGCCCTATAGCAAAAACCTCTCCAAAAAAAAGAAAGAAAGAAAGAAAGCACTTAAACTTTTACCTTTGTCTCAGAAGGCAGTCCTTTTTTTGAAGGTGATAGGCTGTTAGTTTGGGTTACAAAGATGAAGATAAAAACTTTTTTTTTTTTTAGCAATCTTTATTACTTTGAATTTTAGAATTAGATCCTATTTGGTCTAGTCTTTTGATGGGTTAAAAAAAAACAGGCGAAGTGTGCATACTTGGTATATATTTAGAGGGTCCTGACTACTGAAATTTTATTGTTGAAAATTTGCCTCCTTCTGAGTTGTATAGTGAAAGACTAGGTGGGGAACTAATATTTATTAAAGAAGCATCACCTCCCTCTCCCACAGTCTAAAAGTCTAAAATTAAGAAGTAAGATTTTATTTATTTTTTATTTTTATTTTTATTTGGAGAGGTTTTTGCTGTAGGGCGCATGCGCTCGCCAAACAGACAGAGAGATAGAGAGATAGAAAGTGAGAAATCATCCCCCAAGGGGGATGGCCAGGCAGCAATCCCTTCTCCATTCTCCTCTCGGGTTCTTGGGCATGCACGCACATGCACCCGGTGTGAGTTTAAGCCACCGGGTCCAGGACTTGAACTGTGGTCGACTACGTGGGAGTCCAGTGACATAGCCATTACGCTAACTGCTGGTCCCAAGAAGTAAGATTTTAAAAGGGCAGATGGGGGCCAGCAGGTGGCATGGTGGTTAAGGTACTGGATTCCCACATGACCACCAGTCCCAGACCTGTTGGCTTGAAAGTCACACTGTGTGCGCTTGCATGCCCAAAATCTTGAGAAAGGAGCAGGGATTGTGGCGTGGCCCTGTCTTCTCCTGGGGGGATGATTTCTTATCTTCTCACTGTCTCTCTCAGGCAAGCAGATAAGCCGGGGGTGGGGGGGGGAAGGAGGGAGGGAAAAAAAAAAAACAGACGGTCCAATGACATGGCATTGAAAATGTCTCAAGGATTCGAAATTGGGACCTCAAAGGCTTTTCCACAGGCAGTGCTAGTTTCTGTGCTCCAAAGATGGATGCTCCTGAGAGACCTGTCAGGACTCAGCTAAAACTAAAAATAGCAACAACCACAATATTTTAAAAAAAGGAATTATTTAATTTCATTTATTATTGTTGTTTTGAAAGAATTGTAATGGGACTGGCAAGTGGCACGGTAGTTGAGGGTGCTGGACTCCCACATGGTTGACCACAGTTCGAGTTCGAGTTCTGGACCTGGTGGCTTGCTTTCTCACTTTCTCTCTCTCTCTTACTCTGTCCGTCTCTGATCAAATAAAATAAATAAATGGTTAAATAATGTTGAATAAAATCATTCTTTAAAAAAATAAAAAGCAGTGTTTCATTAAAAAAAAAGAATTGTTATAGGGCACATAAACTCACCAGGGAAAGTGAGAAAGGAAACTGCCAGGTCTGGGTCTTAAACCATAGTTGTCCATGTGGAAGTCTAGCACCTTTTTTTTTTTTAAATCTAACTTTATTTATTTATTTATTTATTATTTTAATTTGACCAGAGAGGGACAGAGAGAGAGAGAGAGAGGAAGGAAGCAAGAAAGCAAGCCGCCAGATCTGGGACTTGAATCATGTCGGCCATATGGGAGTCCAGTGCCCTTAATCACCACCTGGCAGCGGAGGCTATCTCGACTTGCAGGGGTGCTGTTTATTTTTTATTAGGTTATCTAAGGCAAAAAGTTTGCACAAGTTGTAGTTATTTGTTATTGAACACTGCAAAAGGGGACTGGAATCTTCAAGGCAGTTATTCCTGTAGCAGTGCATTGGGACATTAATTTTGAACTCTAGTGTTGGCACATAAAGATAATTTATGGGCAATAATATACTAAAGGAAGAGCGAGCCCTTCTGGCGAGACAACCCAGGACTGCACGTTGGGAATCTTAGTCCCAAATGCAGATCTTTTCCCTAATGGCTGTGGGCACTAAGATGGGCCATTTAAATTCTCCGGGCCTTGTGGCTTTATTTATAAGATGACAGTATTCAGCTTTAAATTGTGGTTTGTGGGGATCCCAAGAGGGTTATAGCTCTTTGGAAATGTATGGTTAAACCATATGATGATGACTTAGCTTCCTTTATGGTAGTTGCTCAATTCTGGTACCATGGCCTTCGGACTTCATAAGAGTGTGCAGAGCACTGTGTAAGTGTGGCATACCCAGTTATTTGTTAGGGGTGTGTGTGTTTAAAGAACTGTCACATTTATTTATTTATTTATTTATTTATTTATTTGCTATTGGGCATGTGCCTTCATTAGAGAGAAAGTGAGAAAGGAAGCCACCAGGGCTGGGGCTCAAACCATGTTTGGCCATGTGGGAGTCCAGAGCCTTAACTACTATGCCATCTGTTGGCCCCTGTGTGTGTTTTTATCCCTCTTATTTTTCTCCCATTCTGAAACTTAGGACAGGGATCCTAGAGGTAAGGCAGTTTTAGAAAGCACCTAAACTTGGGACCAGCAGATAGTGTAATGGCTATGTCACTGGACTCCCATGTTAGCCAACCACGGTTTGCCTCCCAGACCCAGTGGCTTAAAACTCACGCCAGGCAGGCGCGCGGGGGTGCGTGCGTGCCCAAGATCCCAGAGGAGGATGGAGGAGAAGGGATTGTGGTGTGGCCATCCCCCTGGGGGGTGATTTCTCGCTTTCTGTCTCTGGCGATTGCAGGTGCCCTATAGCAAAAACCTCTCCAAAAAAAAGAAAGAAAGAAAGAAAGCACTTAAACTTTTACCTTTGTCTCAGAAGGCAGTCCTTTTTTTGAAGGTGATAGGCTGTTAGTTTGGGTTACAAAGATGAAGATAAAAACTTTTTTTTTTTTTAGCAATCTTTATTACTTTGAATTTTAGAATTAGATCCTATTTGGTCTAGT